CTTTTCAGCTAGGTTATGGCCCTCTCAGTTGTGCTCCTAGGAGACAGTTCAATACAGTGATTAAGAGCATGGATTCGCCAGTTAGGAGGACTTGGGTGCACATCCTAACTCTACCAGTTCCCAGTCATATGGACTAAGGAAAAAGTGCTGTGAATTTCAGGTGAGGTTTATAGGATTTGTAGAGAAAGGTATCAAGGTGGTGGGTAACAAAAGTGGCAAGAATAAAATATATGATTCTTACAAATTTTACCTTGATTTTGGTATGTTAGGGTAACATTAATGTAGTATTCTTCTACATTCTTATGAAATTTGAGCAATACATGTTTAGCTATTTTTAATTCATATCTAATTTTGAGACTGGGTTTCTTTGATCAAGCCAATGGATCCAAACTGTATAAGGTATTTTTATTCTTTCAAATTAACTTCATTAAATAGAAAGAAGTAAAGAAATGACTTATGACAAAAGGTAATGCTTTCATGGGAGCCATGTATGTGTTTATTCATGTGTTATTTCACCAAAGTTAATTGGACCCTTTTTTTTTTTTTTTCCCCCAAGGGGATGGGGAGTGATACTATTGAGATTACACAATTTAGATGCTTTCTATGAATTCTGGCTTTATGTTTCCTTTGCTTGGAACTGAAATAATCAATTTCATTTTCCTTCAATATATTATACTCCTTGAAAGCCAGATGCCCTCAAAGAATATTAATAACTTCTTGTACCAATTAACTGCTTTAATTTTCTAAATGTCTTCTCTAGTCTTAAATATACCATACTCTCTACATTTTATTTGTTGATAATATGTTCCGTGTTTCAAATGATGCCAACATGCTTTTTGGGGGCTTTTTTTTCAGTTAGATAGAGTAAAATGTAGCATCAATAAATAAAAATCTTTACAAACAGCAAATGTGGAAAGGAATGCATTTTTTCGACTCCATTTCAGGATATCTGACTTTTTGTTTTAGTAAATTTAGACCTAAAGATACTGAAGCCTTAACATTACACTTTTCAAATAATATGTGCATTTTATAATGCAAGATATCTCAAAGAGAAAGAAAGTTAATTTTAATAAGAGAAAAATAATAAACATCAAATGAAAATTTATAATATTTAAAGATTAAATATATTTTCTATGTGATCTATAGATAGATAAACACTAAGACTCTAGGGGGAAAAATGAACAGTGAACACAAAAAGATAACCTCCTCAAAAGGAAATAAAAATGGTTAATGAACATATGAAAAAGCCCAACTCTGAAAAATAAGAAATGCAATTTAAAATATGTTTTCTTCTCCTATCAGATTAACAAAAGTGCGAACAGATAATATTCAGGGTTAGCCGGAGTGCAGTGAAATAGACTGCTGTACAGTGGTGGGAGGAAAATTTAGTAAAATAATTAGGGATAGGCAATTCTCAGTTATATATTAAGAGTCTTAAAATTATTCATATTATTTCATTATATCTAGGAAATTCCTCCTAAGGAATTAGATTACAAATAAAGATGAGGAATTTTTGTGGAGATACTAGGGAATTTTTTATAATAATTATATGGAAATAGCATAATATATACAAAAACAGCAACTGTATTTTATATTATATTATATATAATATTAGTATAATTGGTAGAATGAACAATGAATTGGTCATATAAGTTTCAAATTGTTTGATAAGAGGCTAAAACCAGTTCCTTCATTGACCAAAATTTTTGTCATCTATGATACCATTGAAGTGTCTTTTAATTGTAGCAGTAGTTGTTTTTTTCCACTTAAGGGAAACTGAAAAATCTTAATTTCATATCTATTTTCCTGATTGCACTTTTGACTTTCACTATAGTTTCACAGCCATCAGATTCCATGAATTATACAGAAATGGTTTGTTTTACAGAAACTATACAAAAATAGATAACTAGAACAGCAATTGGTACTAAAATTTGAGTGGTACTGTAACAAAACCCAATAATGCTTGTCAGCATTAATTTGGAGACAAGAAGGCAGGTGGAGGCCAGAAGGGCAGCAAGGAGACCCTAGGTGGAGACAGGAAGAACATCAGGAAGCTGTTTTAGAGGGCCAGAGGCAAGAGGACTCATGAAGATAATTGTCAGAACAGTTAGCCTGACCAGAGCTTGCAGGAACTAGGAAGACAGAGAATCTACAATAATAAAAGTCAATATGCTAATTAGTCCGGTCAGCCAACCAACCTTCCGGATGTCCTTCTGGATGAAGCCAGGGCTGTGAGAGCTGAGTCCCTGGCATGAATTTCATGCCTTGGGCCTCTAGTCTACTTATACACTTGTGGACCAGGTGAAGGGGGTTTCAAGCAAAGAATTGACCATGTTACTTATCATTTTTTAAAACACATATAACATGATATTTAAGAGAAAAATGAGGGGAAAAAAGTAATTTCTCAAGTATTATTTACAGGATATATTTCCAACTCAGGAATTGCTGATTTAGAAAATAAAAGTTTCACATTTACAGCATCTCCAGTTGTCAAGAGACTTTCCAAGTAAGACAATGTCTCAAAGAAAAGATCAAATTCTAAATGCGTCTGCTAGTCAAGATCAAATCACAGATGTAGCTCTAAGACACCTTGTTAAGACCGCAGAAAGATTTCAGACTTTCTGAGCTACACAAAAGTTCTAACAATCTTAAAGATGTCCCACGGCTTCCTGCTTTACCTTTCATGCCAGAGAGAGCAGCCCGTCTTGAAAAGATTTGTGGGAATGTATTTTATCTACAGGGATGAGATTATAATTTGATACATAGAAATCACGTACCATATTTCAGAGTTGTAACAGCTTGGAATAAAAGGAACAGAAATAGCTCAACTAACAGCTTGGGATACCTTACTCTTTTTTAAAGTGCCTGCCAGCCTATTGTTAATCTATATAGTTTAGGATTATTTTAAAGTAATAACAATAAAGAGCAAACTGTTATAGTTAACAGTTATTTGTCAATTTTTTAAACACCAAGTTTTGTGCTAAGGATATTTTATAGAATATCTCATTTATCCTTCAAAACAAACCTGAGTTTTTAAACTATACATTTTGATCCATACCTAGATTTTTGTCTCAAGAACCTCATCAGAAATGGAGGTGACATATCTATATGTATAATGATCAGAGTGGCATAATTTGTAAGGATAAAATCATGGATAAACCTCCAGGTCTTTTTATTAATAAAAGTTAAGAATATTTTATATAATGGCTAATAATTCATCAACTAATTAAAGCATATGTATTAATATAATTATTGCTTTCATTTAAAAGATAGGAACATTGAGAATCAGTGAGGTTATGCTCTCTAAGGTCACACAAAGTTTAGCTCAGTCGGTTAGAGCACTGGTCTGCAAACTGTGGCTCATAAGCCAAATGAGGCTCTTTGGCACCTTGAATATGGCTCTTTCACAAAAATACGATGGCCTGGGAGAGTCTATCCTGAAGAAGTGATGTTAGAAGCAGTTTAAGTTTAAAAACTGTGGCTTTCAAAATAAATTTCAATCGTTGTACTGTTGATATTTGGCTCTGTTGACTAATGAATTTGCTGCCCACTGGGTTAGAGCATCATCCCAATAGGCCAAATTTGCGGGGTTGATCCTGGGTCAGGGTACACACAAGAGTCAGCCAATGAGTGCATACATAAGTAAAACAACAAATCAAGGTCTCTCTCTCTCTCTCCCTCCCTCCCTCCCTCCCTCCCTCCCTCCCTCCCTCCCTCCCTCCCTCCCTCCCTCCCTCCCTCCCTCCCTCCCTTCCTCTCTCATTCTAAACTCAATCAATAAGCAAAAATATTAAAGTTGCACAGAGTTTGGCAGATGCAAGATTTCAACCCAAGTATTATGACTTCACTCCCAAACCCTGTAAGAGTGTGCCTATATTGGATCAAAGTACAATTTATATTTTAAAAAATGAACTGTACTATTAATATCCTGTGCAGTGAAAAATTTCACTCTGCAATAGAAAACATCTGTCTTTTTATGAGATTTACATGAGTACATAGCCTTAGATACGACATGCACTCTATTTCTGGGTGTGTACTCTGAAAAGACTATGAACTTTTTGCTCATCTTTAACCAGACAGTGAATGCCTGGGCCCCACTTGCTATCGTATTGCCTATTTCTGAACCAAGGAGCATTATCTGGGTTCCAGATGACAAAGAGGGCAGGTCATAGGAGGCATCTTTTATGTGAGGGAGGGCTTCCTGAAACCCAGACAACCTGCTGGCTTGTGCTGAATAAGGCAGTGCTTCATCTGTGCTATCTCCTACATCTACTTTTACCACAAACTCACTTTATAATTTTAAATAAATGCCTATAGACTTTTCCTTTGTTAAAATAGAAGACAGAGGGGGAAAATGATGAGACAGAAAAAAAAGACGTTAATGAAGAGCTATAGCTGAGATCTGAGGCACATACAAAAGTAAAAAAATCCTAAGTATGGTTCCCATAGCAACTGCAACACAGTTGGATTTCACTTTTATGTTAAGTAAGCTTTACTTGAGTGGGAATGCAAAATACTTTCTCTGAGCCAGAAAGGAAATCATGGAAAACACAGAGATATTGGTCCAGACTCCTCTGGCTTGAAACATGTCAATTTTTAACCCTAATATGTAGTAATATGTTCATACTGAAACTATAAATTCATTTATATTAATTTAAACTATCTTTATTCAATTTTTTAAAATATGATTATTTAAAGTGGGAAAATTCCCATTAAATCTATTATGTCAGAGGCTATGACTTTATACTTTGTAAACATAGGGGCATAATTCTGCTTTTAATTACAAAAGAAAATTTGATGTAAGTACACTTTATGAAACCAATTGGATTGTATTCACTGTCATATGCTTTAAACTTGACATTTTCAGCTATTGTAGATGCCATTTGGAACTATAAAAACAAACATTTACTTTAAGGAGAGGTTATGCATATAAATCTGAAGGCATTTTCATACATTTCTCTATTTCAGTAACATTTGAAAAAGGTAGGAAGGATACTTACTCCTTTTATGTAACGAGGTCTATATTGAATAGTTCCAAATAAACCAAGAATGACGATAATAATATGTACAAAATTTGCCAGGATAGGTGCCCACTGATATCCAAGGAAGTCAAATATTTGCCTCTCCAGCACACAAACCTAGAAGAGCAAAATAGGATACACAGGTGAGCACACTGATGAAAGAAAGCACTGGATCTCACTGACACCTGATTAGCAATTATAACGTGGTACCCATATCTGGTATTAGTCTAACAGTAAGAATGACATTTTCAGGTCTATTTCAAATGAAAACTCTGGGAGCTGTGGATCCATAGACACTAACAATCCTCTCAGGATTGAGTTTGTGGAGGCTTCTGGCATTATTCACAGGATGTCTCCTGTGCAGTCACAGGATAAATTATAGCACCATAGTCACTGTCAAGCACTTGAGCTCATCAACCTGAAAGTTCTTCGGGAGTCCACAGGAAGGGCTTGTGGTTAGCATCTGCTCAATGTCTTTACACAAGGAAAGAGAACAAAAGGGGCTGATACAGAAGAAAAAGAACTACTAAGTCAAAAGGCCTGAATTTTACATTCAAATCTGCGTGTAGAATTTAGGCCTCTTGACTTACTCAGTAGTTCTTTTTCTTCGGTATCAGCCCCCAGAAAGTCATTTCCCTTCTCTAGAGGTCTGTTTCCTCATCTGCAAAATGCAGGACTCCAACTAATATCTAGGGTTCTTCTAACCCTAAGAGTATTGGATTGTAAGTCAAACATGGCTTTTTGTCATACCCTGTGAGTACCGTAACCGAGTAAAAGGAGGGCTCTAAAAGAAAATTAAATAATGGAATTAATTTTCTATTCCAATGGAAACAAAAATAAAGCATCCATGTTATTAAAAAAGCAAGGAAGTCATTTCAAACTACCCTATGTTCTTCTGTGCTTATAGTTTTACAATGAAGACATATGTAAATGTGCAGTCAGCGGGGAAAGCAAACCAACCAACCAAGCAACCAAACCACCAAAAACTAAAAAATAAAATAAAAACTAAGATTGGCTCTTTTTATACTAAAGTGGCATTTTATACTAAAAAGTGAAACCTCGACAGATGGCAAGTCTCTCTTCAGATCTCATGAAGCAAGAGGGAAGGGGTGTCTTAAACCCAGCTTTATCCTTCCTGCCTGCCTGACCCTGGTTGACAATAAACGTTCTCATGGAGCTAAAACACTGTGAAAGGACCTGATGTTCCTAACGAAGATTCAACAAAACTTTTTAACTCAGGCTGTGAAGGAAAATTATCTGTAAAAACCCCATGTTACCAACATCATTACGCTTTAAACTTAATTCTTGTCAGAAGGACATCCTAACTCTTGAAACCGTTAAAGAAAATACACGTAGCTTAGTTTGAAGACCGCTTGAATGATCATCGTTGCCACTGAACTTCTTTAGCTGAACAGCACATGCTCCCATCAGTCAGTGGAAGAGAAAGGAAGCCCATGACAACTGTTTGCACAGCACCTGTGTTTCCTCAGGCACACTGGGTACCACTGTTGTGTTTGCAACATAACAGCCCTGCCTGGTCATTTTCACTTGGTCATGGCAACGCTTACGAAAAGGGCAGCTACGTCTGTTCCAGCCTAAATATAAATCCACAAATGCCAACAGAGCCTCATCAGTGGAAAGTCATGTTCTCACTCATAACCAGACTGGCATGGAATGTGCACGTGACCCCAGACTCATAACCTTGAACCGCCTTCTGATGAAACAGTCCTTCACCTGTGAGCATGCGGTTAATACTTCCTATGAAGAAGCACCACTGTGAGGTTAGGTGGCATTGTATGTGTCTTGTTGGAATACATCAATAGGGTAAAAATAGGTGGTGGTTCTCAGAGCACCATGGCTAATCATCTGTGTAAAAGCCCATTCGTACAGAGATCTCTCTTATCCATAGCATATGAATAAATAGTGAGCAGGGATGAAAAACAGCAGCAAGAAGAATGTAAACTATAAATTTTGAGCATCATAACTGTGGAGACACAACAGGGAAAAAGTATAGAGGATGAAGCACATCAGTCAAACAGTGGGTAATCCCATTAGTGCTTGAATTATGGAAGAAAATAGCAGTTCCGTCGTTAATTATAAAGAATATATAGATGATAATATACTTGCTCTGACTGCAAAGCTAAAATAAAGTCACATCAACATTTATCAGCCTTTTTTTTTCATGACAGAACTAATAGTGTCATCAAGTATTATTTACAAGGTTATGCAGACTGAATAAGTTAATGTGCAGTTCTTCACTTATAACATTTCTGCCATTTCCTCTTTTTTTTTTGATTGGCCCTATTAGCCATCATAAGTAGCTTTATCATGGATTGTGTAATTTAGAGCTAGGTCTGAAAAATAGAATATTTGCTAAAAAAAAAAAATCAGTGAGTATCATAGTAATTACTTAGAGAAGTAGCTTCAGTTTTTTCCAAGAATCTCTTCCAATAGGATGTGTTGCAACTATAAAATTACTGGGAAGGGTGTAGGGTTGGGGTAAAGAGAAAACATATTCACTAAATTACATTTCTGCTGGACATTCATACTATTCCACGTCATGTGTTGTCTCCTTGATTCTGCACAAACACCAGGGAGATAACTATGATCGTCCTATTTTTCAGATTAGTAATCTAAGAGGCAGTGTGGCTAAGTGATCCATTGAGGTCTGAGAAGTGGTAAGTGTTAGAACAGAAATGTTGGTTTCTGTGCATGGTTCCTCTGTTTGCTCCTACTGTGTGGACTCCAGACACACCTATCTTTCACAGTTTATGTTTCTGACCTTTGCTTGTTACATGACACACTACATTTTTACTTTTTTTATTTAGTCGAGAGAGCATCTGATCACACTTATCAGATCATGACATTATATCATCATGGGTCAAGGCAAACCTTTTTTTCCTTTGGTCATTTTACTTTTTTCCTTGCCTCTTTCAACCCATGTTCTCAGTGTTATCCCCCTTTCTCTCATTAAACCCTGGGTTTTACATATATATATATATATATATATATATATATATATATATATATGTATATGCCTTGGAAAACATATGCTGCTGCTGAATGTGTGATTTTTATATTAAAAATCTTATGGGTTAAGTTTCTTTCATGCTTGTCTATTTTACTCTATTAATTGAGGGGATTTTTGTGTTTGGTTTCTGAACTCTAACCCATCATAATAATAAATGCACTAGAGGTACAATGCAGGAAATTCATGCAAAAGTAGGCCTTCCTTTCCCCAGCTGCTGGCACCTGCTTCTCTCTGGCACTCTGGACCCGGGCTTCCCTCGTAGCCCTGGCATCGTCCGGAAGGTCATCCGGAACGTTGTCTAGAAGGATGTCTAGTCTAATTAGCATATTATGCCTTTATTATGATAGATAACTTGGTGCTTTACACAAAGAATTCTGTTCCCTTCCATTACTATTACTTAGGAGGTTTTTTACTTTTTAAATATAAATAGGGGCTGATCTTTATAAATTATTTCTGCACTATAAAGATATTTGCTTTATACTCTTCTTTTAGATCATTAATGTGACTAACTTTATTATCCATTTTTGTCATGTTCAGATATGACTTTTGATGATGTTTTATAAGTACTGAGCAAGAAAAAGCATACCTAAGGTACTAGTGAGTGTGTGGGACTGGGAATATGTGATGAGATGAATCAGACAATTTTTTATGTTATCTTCCAGAATCAGTCTTATGTTATGAGATATGCTAATATCTGAAATGGTTCTTAAGGCAGAAATTCTCAAAACTCTCAAGAGAGACCAGGTGTAGTTGTTCAAATGACACCCTAACTATAGATCTACGCATTTGGTTCTGATCCACTTCCAAGTCTATTCATGTGGCAAGTACATACAATCAAAAACATCCCGATGTAGCTAACATTACCAACACACAGAAACGCATATGAGAAACTATTGACTATATTTATAATAAGGGACTTTAGGAATTAGGTAGAATCAGTTGCTAAGTTCATCATTAGCATTGGCTATTTGTTCAATACTGACTTTTTATTCATCAAGAGCTCAGTGAAAGCCAAGTAGCAAAAATAGCTTGCAATGTTCTTACTTTCATAGTGTATTGCCTTCTCATAGCAAATGACTTTCTCTAGAGATAACTCTATTGCTATTTTTGAACAGCACAATCATATTAAACATATTAAAGCTGCCATCTGGAGAATTTGAAATTTGTCAACTACGTAAAATTGCAGATATATATTTTTTCCTGAAAAGCTGATAACGAGTCCCAAAACATGCCTCATATATCATTATCAGAGAAGCGATGGCTAGGTAGCTCTCAGCTTGGGTCTTAATAAATACTTGTATATCTTTGTATGGATTTTTATTCTGTGAATTCAAAATGAGGTAAGTCGAAACTGGTTTGGCTCAGTGGATAGAGCATCAGCCTGTGGACTGAAAGGCCTGGGTTTGATTCTGGTCAAGGACATGTACCTTGGTTGCGGGCACATTTCCAGTGGGGGGTGTACAGGAGGCAGCTGATCAATATTTAAAACTCTCTATCCCTCTCTCTTCCTCTCTGTGAAAAATCAATAAAATATATTTAAAAAAAATACAAAACACAATGAGGTAAAATGCCCTTCCAATACTCCTGTCCTCTCCTCATTTGAAGCAATGGGTTAACAATGTAATTACTGTCATCAGTGTTCCCTGTTTAGCAAATGCTGTATATCTAGTGTGTGTGAGGGGGGGGTGGTGGCGTGCATACCATCTCAGGGATCAGAAGTGGATGCCATAGACTTCTGTGCCTGGGCTTTTCCCTGTCTACTTTCTCTCCTATCTGCTCTTCCCCTGCTTCAAGGAAGATATCAGCCCTTCCAGTCCACTGTTTATGTGACTGAAGGAAGGCAGCCATGTGGAATGTGTCAATCAAACCTCTCAAACTCTAGGCTATGTCTCTTTCATAAAATTCAATGTCATAAGGATGGGAGATAGAGTGACAGCCTCACTTACTGACTGCTAAAGGGCAATCAAGAGTTGAAATGAAAGCACAAATGTTATCAAGATCAAGACCATGCACGGGCAGTCACTGTGGCAGCAGGGTAATATCAGCGGGGTTATATCAGCGGGGTTATATCAGGAACACAAAGAAT